TATTTTAATAGCTTATAAGTTTATTTTAATAGTTTATCATTAACCGGTCTGAATTTGTTAAAAGACTGAAAACCGAAGACTGTGTAACCGGCCAAAAAGACCGGTCCTTAACCAGTCTTCTCAGGACCACCAACCCTAATTTTATTAAGCCTTTAAATTTAAAAATAGTAATTTTTGTAAAAAAAAATCATTAAGTAAACTTTGTATTAGAATAATATAAGTGTTCAAAGTTTATATTTAAATTTTTATTATAGATAATTTAGTTTAACACTGCAGTTAACATCATTAAATTCGGTAACAAAAAGATTTCTAGCTTATTATACTAATAACCTGCAAAGAATTTAAATCAATAAAATTTTTTTGTTTAAATGTTAGCAAATGAATCAAACAATTTACTGATAACAATTGCTCAAACCATTTATTGATGAAAATTCGAAATTCTTAATTCCAATGCTCTGAATACCAGACATGAAAATTATAGTTAGTAATATTATAACGTCTACATGATATTTTACACAGATTATAAACAAACCTTCGTTCTTCCTTTCGACATAATAGATTTAGAGATACCGCAGCTCGCCAAACAGGTAATATGCTAATTATTGCAAAAGCAAACATGTAAGAAATTACACAGAATAAAAAAAAAAAAAAAAAAACTATATCTCCTTCACTTACATCGCATCACGTTCTTTACATGGATCAACATAAACAATTATACATCCCATATCTGAAAATATAACAATAATAAATTTTTTGACATCGTGGGTACTTTTAAATTAATAATAATAATAATAAAATGCTTATCACATTATTTATTACCTAATTCTTTCAACCTCTTCTGAATTCCTTCATCAAATCGATCTATAAGTGGTGTAGGTTCTGAAAGTAATATCTTAAGATCTTCTAAGTTAAAATTTACCACTCTCTTCTTGGATAAATAAGGATATATCATTGTTAAACCCTCTGAATTAAATCGAAATTCACATTTTATTGGTTCATTTGTTTCTTGCCGAGTAAATACTTTTATTCCCGAGTTTACTACCTATAAATTAGATATAATATCACGTGGTTATCAAATGACAAATAGTATATTATACCATATTATGAAAAAATACCCTTAATCGATGACAATCGGGTGCTTGTAAAACTCGTTTAACAGGTTCAGACACAAAATACAGTATCTTGTTTCTCTCGTTTACAGATCGAACAAGTAATTGATCTGTTGGAAATTCATGAGATAATCCATAGTATTCTCTGATTATGAAAAGATTTTCAAAATTAGTGGATGCTTCACTTATGTAGATAAATATAGTACGAGATAAAAAAAAAAAAAAAAAAAACCTGATCTTTGAGATATCAACATAATCTGGATCCAAAAAAATAAAAGGTTCTTCGTACGCTCGTTTTTGTGGTCCAGTCTCCTGATCGTCATTCTCTTCGTCAGGTTTTGTTTCTGTTTCAAGCTTTTCGACTTTTGGGCATTTATGTGATTCATGTTTAGATGAATCAACATTATGTCTTTTTACAGGAATTACGTAATAATTATCTACAGCATCATTAGTTGACGGATCATCAACAGTCACTGCATTATCCTGCTCATTAGATATGTCAATTTCCTCATCAGAGTTTTGATTGTCATTTTCATTAGCTTCAGCGACCGAAACATCAATTATTGCATCATCTTGCTCATTAGATACGTCAATTTCCTCATTAGCTTCAGCGATCGAAACATCTTTTGTGTCACATGTGTTTTTACTTGACACAGAACTATCTATAGAACTTATATCAGTTATTGGACCTGTCTTTTGCAGTACTGCAATGAAAAATGCACCAGTATCTTGGAAGTGAGGATATATCCGCAGACTGAAAAAAAGAATAATATTACTAATGCATTGCTAATGAAACAACACATGATAATAGTGTGAACCTACCATCTTTCCAGGTGAAGTTGATCTACATCTGGAGGCGGCCAAAGAGACTTTTCATATTTTTTCTGATACTTTGGATTTATATCTTCTAATTTATCAACCCATTTATTTTCTTTACTCATTACCTATTATAATGATCAAGACAAACAGCATGTTATGACAAGTAATCGGCATAAATAGAAATTAGAAGAAATTATTACCTTCCATGATGTAACTCCCTGTGCTCTTATTAATTGCGGTAATTGGTCAGAAACATCTACAAGATGTAAATTTCCTAAAATATAGGTATAGAATAGATGAACCTTAAAATCTAAAATAATTGATAAAATTATGAAATCCGTATATTATGTAAATAATAGTTGTACCTCTGGATCGTCTTAAAACCTCTGCAACTACTGCTTCATTTTCAAGAGGATTCATTGAGCATGTTGAATATACGATTCGACCATTTTCTTTTGCGAGCTGTGCACCACGAAGTAAAATTTTTACTTGAGTACTTAACAAATTATGTATTAATATGTGTTAATATATGATTATAAAAATTAAGCAAATCAGTAATAGAATTTCTTGTATATATACTAATGAAGTCCAATCGCATTTCCTACACCCCAATTTTTCCAAATCAAAAAATTTTTTCGTAGTGTTCCATCACCACTGCAAAAATTATTAATATATTTTAAATATTTGTCTAGTTCGATGCATCATTCTAATGAAAATGATATTGTAACCTGCATGGAACATCCGCTAAGATACGATCAAATTGAATTGGCCTTTTTTCTTCGTTTAAACCCTAATAAATTGATATTAATACCATTTAAAATACTCAATAATAACGTTAGGAAAAAAAGGAAAAAAAACCTGGTTCACGTATACACCGGGAAATTGTGCTGCGTCATGATTAGTTACTATTAAACATGGACTTTTCAAACGCTTAGCTTGATGCACAAGCATACAACTTCGTTTCATATCAGCATCATTTGCGATGACAAGACCAGCTAAAGTAAACTATAAGGTTAATCTTACATGCAATAATATTAAAATTAATTTTTTTTTCTTTCTTTTTTTGAAAAAAAATAAACATCCCCAGGTACTTACAAGGAATTGTCTTGTCTTGTAAGTCATTTGCATGCACTGCTTCTATTATTTGTACAGTTTTTGATCCTGGAGCAGCGCACATATCAAGCACCCAGTGGCCAGGTTTAACATCTAGGAGCAAAGGTGGTATCATACTAACCGCCTCCTGACGATTAATATTTCCCTACGTGCGCAAAAATAAAATTATTTTTCGAAAAAAAGAGCACAGTAAAAAAACTTTAAACCTAAATCTAAAACTAAAACTAAAATTAAAACTAACCACTTCAGTTTCTGCAACCAACCATTTATGAAAATTTTGAAAAACAAGACTTTTTTTAATTGTATTCCTTGGTGCGGAGTGTTGCCACCCAAGTTCATCCGGATACCTGATTGGTAATTAAATAAATTTCAGAAATATTAATTATAAAATCAAAATAAAATTTTCGATGATTTTACCAAAGTAAAGGCCTTGGAGCTTCAGATCTATTATCACTACCAAATTGAATTTTATTCAATTCTGGAACGTGAACATTTACCATTAAATTCCGTAATTCAAATGCATTACTTTCAAGTTAATAATAAATTGAGTTTTATATTTAAAATTTTAATTAATAAACATTGATTTGAAATGAATGAAGGCATGAATATAAATAAATGTATCTTATGATTTATACCTTCGACTCCCAGTAATACGAAAAGAAGTAGGAAGAGTTGTTTTATTTACTTCCATAAACTTCTCCCATTCTGTTTCAGGTATAATATTTTGAGCCTTCAGAATAAAATAAATTATTTGATCAGATAGGATTTATCAATTTCAACTTATAAAAATTCCCAAAATTATTTAATATTCAACACGATAAACTGTTTTTTAATGCACAATTACTTAAGTGTAGCGACCACTTCTATTTTCACTTGTTAATCTCGATAACTAACAATAACAGTTTACCTTGTAAAACCTTTCAAAATTCACATTCTCTCTAACAATATCATCAAAGTGACTTTTAGTATTATCTCTTTCTCGCGGCGTCTCCTGGCGACTTTTCTTGTTTCCACCTCGCCTTTTCTTTTTCCAAGTCATTAGACGAAAATTTTACAATAATCTAATTTTGGACTTTTTATAGGATTTCTAGTATGTAAGAGATCTTTTGTCTGATTGGCAGATAAATGTATTGAGCTTATATATATATACTATATATAAAAAATTTTTTGGTGCCCAGAATAACTGATACCTACCTAATTCAATCCGGATTTTGGACAATACTGTAGCTTCTAGCATAACCAAAATCAAAGATTGCTCAGTTGAAGGTAAGGTATTTGAAGTTTGCAAATAATCTAATTGCCAATTTTCAGTATCAATTACAGTATCCTTCAAACTATATATAACGAATATTATATAGTATTTTAGTATTTTAGTACGTATAGTAATAAATATCAAACCCGCTAGATTATAATTAGGCAAAAATTGATCATAATTAAATAATACCAAATAATTCACAAATCGAAAATACTTTATTTATTGCAAATTCAAAAATGTTAATTTTATATATTTTAATAACTTCTTTATTTCAACTGAATTGCTTATTATTTGATCTATATTATCCAAATTGTCATCTTCATTCTCCATATCTCTATCATCAAGTATTTTAGCCTCGACTATGTTATTAGTCATACTTACTATTAGTGTATTGACATTTTTCTTGAATTCATCTTGAAGATAGCCTAAACAAATTAAGTACTTAAAATAAAATTTTTATACAGTAAGCAATAATTATTATAACTATGCCCACATGCCAAAATATAGTTATTTAACAAATCATCAGTTTTATCACAATATAATAAATCACATAGAAAAGACATATTAGGCTTTTTAGAAGTAACAAAACATCTCAGAAGGTGGTAATTTATTATTTTATAATTTAATGAATGTAGTTCAGATATATTAATACTATTATTAATTGAGGATTTAATAATAAAATGTTTGTTATAATTTTTAATATACTTTACAAATATTTCTAAAAGTAATATAGAACATTTTTGGGATGTTTTATAGAATAAATAGGTGGGCAAACTCTGCAAACTCTGCAATTTCATTATTAAAAATTAATGATTACTAATTATTAATGAAGCTTATTTCTTATATTACCTATCTATTTTATAGAATATTCTATTTTTGAGAAAGTATATCTAACTATTTTGACATATATAGATACTTTACAAAATATATGAAATTTGTTAAAATTATTGTCATATTATTGTTAAAAAATGAAGTATATCTTTTTTTGCAATTGTTCAACTATAAAAAACTTAACAATATATTTTTAAATAATACTATAACTAATTTAACTAGACTATCACTAAAAAATCTAGATATTTAGTAATCATATTTATAATTGAATAACTAGTTTCTATTTAATAAAAAAATATAAAAGAGTATACTTATAATTTTTTAGTTGAATTATAGAAAATATCACTTTAAAAATATATATATATTTCTCTATATAATAGTTAATCTTTATTTCAATAGTATATAATATAGATATTAAAAACTAAGAAAACTAATTGTTAAATAAATTAGTAAGATACAATATAAAAATTCTATATTTTTATATATAAATCCAAATATTAAATAAACTATATTAAAAATATTAGACTATATAAAATATATAATATAGAGAATTAAATTAATTCTCTATAGTTTTGGCTTATAATCAAGTTTTTTTTTACTTTAAATATATTTTTAAAATATTATTAAATAAAAAAATATATTTTTGTAAACAAGTTTATAAAAATTTAAAAATATTTTAAAATAAATAAAAATAATTTAACAAATTAGAAGATATATTTATTATTAGAAATTATTATATAATAGCTTTATAGATAAAATTATTTAGACCAATTTGCAATAGTAGAAACTGTATAGTTAGAAAGATATATTTATATTAGCCATTAATTATATAATTTATAAAGTATTAATATATTTTTTTATATTTTTATTTTTGGTTTTTATTTAAAATAACTAGCAGTAATCATTACTGTGTATAATTAGCCAATAATGATAAATTAAAAAAATATTTTATTTCATTTTCTTAGGATTAGGATAAAGACTGAGATTTTAGCAAAGTGTTAAATTTATATGAAATTTAGTGAAGAATTTTTTTTGTTAGAATATTGAAGATAGTTTTATACTATAGATGAATTCTTGAAATATCTGCATTTTTTAAAAAAATCTTTATTTTAGTTATACAAATTAATTTGCATATTATATCTGATTCAGCAATTTTATTAGCTAATTATATACTAGTGATGCTCACTGCCAGTTATAGTTAATAAAATTCTTTATTTTTTTTAATGAAATTAATAAGAATAAAGTTGCATATATATTAATTATTTTTTTTGCAAACCTATTATTATAGCTATATACTATTGGTTTATTTAAATATTTCTTTTATTAGTATATACAGTCGATTCTCTCTAAGTGCATGTTCTCTAAGTGCAGGTCATATTAAATTTTCTTTAAATGCAGATTTTTTTTTAGTTCCAAGCTATATAAAGTTATAATAAACTTATATTCTCTAAATGCAGATTCTCTTTAAGTGCAGGATTTTTTTTTTACTTAAGAAATTTTTCTAAGTCCTGGCAAGCTGCATTTAGAGAGAGTTGACTGTATTTATTTTTTGTGTTTTGTATATGATTATGATATAAAATATTAAGATTTATAATAAATTATTTATCAAGATGTTTCATAATTAAATTACTATCTATAAATTTAAAATTAACTATTTTATTACATAGTATTATTAATATTAAATACAGATTTATTAAAATTGTTACTATATATTAGCTTAAAAATAAGTATAATAGATTGTTAAAGAATATAAATATTATAATAGTTATTAATATTTGTTTACAAATTAAAATGAAATCAGATTAAAATGAAATTAAAGACCTTTCTTGCTTATTCTTAAAGCTTATAAAACTCATATATACTCTTTTCTTAATAACTTTAGCTCTAATTTTACTCCTAATGCTAAAAAAAACTCTAAAAAATATTACTCAAAAAATTTTAAATTTTCTTTAAAAATAAAAAAATTTCATTTTAATCTGATTTTATTTTAATCTGTTACAATATTTAGTATATCATAAATTCTTGAAATAATACTTAGTGTGAAATTATGAAATTTGGTCTAAATTAAACTTAATTTGAATTAAAATTTAAAATAATACTCATGCCTGTTATTTTAAGAATTTATAGTAAGTATATTTTCTAATTGCTTTTTTTTTAGTATTAAGATAAGATCATGCTCTGTATTTTTATAAAATATATTGTTACAAGTGGACTGTAGCCTTCTTAATACAGCACAAGTAACAAAGCACACAGCTATAGAGCTCTGTTGT